TTATTGAAGTTAGATTATTATTGGAAAGAAAAAGAAAATCCTCTAGTTTAGCATACACTTAAAGAGGAATAGTTGCACTTCGGGCTTGGTTGATTCATGCTAGCTAGCTTTATATTGTAGTTGAGCGTATGGGATTGATTGAAGGAATTGATCAAAAACAACATTTAATGCATTCCTTTTGGCTGAAATTGTCACTACCTAAAGAATTTGAAGCTATTCTCATTCGTTTCATGAAGTTTTTCAATGTCAAATAAAGTTAGTAAGTTAATGAACAAGCAAAAATGTCCTTTTGTTTAATGAGTTTCCATTTCTCTCCGCTTTCCACATAATCTTACTTGGGAATTAATGAAGTAATTAAATTAATTGAGATAATTACAATAATAATTGGTTGCCACAACAAGTTAACAATGAAATGAAAGAGTGTTTTATTTGCATTTTTCTTATTTTGGCAATTTCACATGGTTTTGGGGTAACCTTGTCGTCGTCATATGTAAGGTGAAAATGATTGCGCTTCAAAAGATGTTTTTTTTTATTATAAATGACCGAGTGTCAGTGTGATTTATGACGAAGACCTAACCGATTTTAATAGTGGCGCTGACGCTCTCTGTTGGTATCATACTTTTCTCTCCCTCTCTATCTTTTTTTCCTCTTCTTCTTTTTCTTTTTTTAAGGCTGTACTTCTTAATTCCTATTTTATTATTTTTTAAGGAAGTAATTTTTGTCCCATGAATGAACAAGTGATTGTTATATGTCATACATTTTAAGATATCCGTCATGTTGTAATTTCATGTTTCTTAGATAAATTTGATGGAATTTCGAGGGAAGGCGATCTGTTTAAAATGCTCAGCTGTTATCGGTTATGATTGATGATGATGATGATGATGATGATGATGACGATGATGATGATGATGATGATGATGATGATGATGATGATATGATATGATGATGATGATGATGAATGTAGTATTAGAAGGATATGGTAACAGAAGAAAGACTTTTATGGCAATAATTACAATCGTAAAAGTCGTTAGCGAAAATCTTTTAAAGTCATAATTAATCTTTTAGAAGATGAAATGTGGGAGGTGAAAGCTTACATATGGAAAACTGGAATCTTCAAAAGAAAGATAAATTTCAACTTATTGCAGTTTGTGAGACCAATGCTATCCTCGTTTGTCTGGGTCAAGAAAGTAAAAATTTGGAAGTTTTCTTGAGGAACGATGCTCAACCCATTTCCCCCTCTTTTATCAGTTTGGGAAATCATGTAACTTAAAAATGACAACTGAGAATAATCTTTGTCTTTTAAAATAATGCGAAATTCGATAAGGAAAAATTAACTGTATCATCTGTGTAAAACTGCAAACGGTTTGGTTTTCATGGTTTGCTGCAGTAATTATGAAAAGCTAGAAAGGATGAGATCTAGGTTTGAATAGTTTTTGTTTCATTTTCAGATTATCAACCTGTTCCTTATTCAATTGGATTATTTTAGCACCCTGAAGTTTCGACTGTCAGTTATCGAAGGTCGAGTCCTGATTGCATCAGCTATGAGCTAGTCGATTGGATAGGCTTAATGATAATCAAAAAGAGAATATAAGTAAATAAAATGGGTAAGTGAACTGACAAATTGGACCACTTGTAAATGATTGCAACTGTTTACTTAACATCTGTACTTTCAGGATTGCATCTACGGCAAGCACCCTTATTCAAACTGTATTGTGTCCGGGGGCACTCTCTTTTGGCAAGGTATATTTGACATTGATATCTCGTTCTTTTTTTTTCGCTTCTTTGCTTTTCTTAAATAACTTAATGAATTCTAATTATTTCTAGCAGTTGCACTCAATTGTCTACTTTCTATCTGTTAGTGTTTCCCATTCTCAAAGTAATGCTTGTTTAACCGATTTAGTTTCACTTATTTATCGATTCGTTGTGGCTTATGCAATATTTTGGTATTCATTCATTGTTTCGGCTTATTTATTCAGTGTTTTATCGAGTCTTCTATTCGTGATACTGCCAAAAATCAGAATGAAAAGGTGAAATCGCAGTGGGGTTTGCACTTTTTTTCATAGAACTTGTCTACTTACACCTCCCAGGTCTGTAAAGTAGTGTCGGTAGGATGCTGCTTTGATCTTTGGTGATTTTAAAAGCAAGTTTCTTCGATGGTTTATTAGCTAATTAAATAGATATGTCAAGAAAATATGACATTCGCTGTAACATCGAACAAAAAACATTAAAGAACGGACAATCGTCACGATTGTCTAGTACTCAAGCATTGATACTTCCCATTCGCTTCCTTTCCCTTCGTTTCTTACTTCGGTGAGAAGCGTAGGAGATGTTATCCTACGTAGCAGGCGTTCTCCTATGTCTCTTACTTTTAACTATTATTTGATTATTAGGTTGGCTTTTGAAATCTCACACTACTTCGTTCTCACACTACTACACACTACTTCGTTGCTTAGTTAAGGGATTTGTGGTAACGTAACGTAAGTTGACATCAGTGAAGGTAGTACCACAAGTAAAAGTTAAAAAATTATAAGTGTATCCAGAACTGAACTGAAAATATGGAGCATCTTCTATGAGGCCTATCTTTGGATGACCCAATTTTATGGCAGAATTGGAAATATTCGCCTATATCAGGTGAGTGTTTTTAATAATTCCTAGCTATCAGATTAAATTTCTTCTCATTAATCTTCCAACTTCATTAGTTTCAGTATTCATAATATCTGAGGGATTAATGCTTAACTGTAATTGGCCCATTCTTATACAGTTAGGGATACAACTGCTTACTGTTCAATGCACTTAAGCAAAGTTGTCGATGGATTATGTCTTTCTTCAGCACAACTGAAGTGAATTCAAAGGAAGTTGTCTGTAACTTTAATAGCAGTAACACTTCACTGTAGTTGACGATGCTTACTGGAATTCGATGAGATTTGTTTCAGTTTTTGATTACATAAATGCAACAAAATTTATTGATGTGTTGAGAAATTGGTGTGTAAGGTGGTGAGGTATGTGCCACTACTGGTGGTGCCGGTGCGGGTAACGATCGCCTGCCTGCCTTTTGCTGATCCTACTTTTCGCATTCTCCCAATGTTGTCGTCTATCGAATATGCATGTGAATCTTTTCATGTCTGTTCGTCCCATCACCACTCTATTCCCATCCGAATTTTTAATCTTATATTGTGTTGTTTCGTCTTCTATTACTCATTTCGTCTTCTGTTACTCATAAATTTGACAAATTTGGGTTTATTGACAATTTATTGTAAAATTGAATGCTTTTTTCCTAGTTTAATTTACATTTTAGTTCATGTCACTTAGTTAATAATGAATTATTTATTAGGGTTTTTAATTGGTTAGAAGAGTATCTCCCTATCATTGAAAGTAATCATCCTTCTACTTCATGCTAACATTGATCATCACATTTTATCTTTTGGTTACTTACAACTTGAGATAATTGTGACACAAGGGATTGATATTAGCAGCTAAAATAGTTACCTTTGCCTATGATTCATATGATGAATTATGATAAAAATATGGGCAAAGATACACGTGATCGAAGTGTACCTACCACTATTAAAAGAAGTTTGTGCAGGACAAGTTGGTAATTTCAGCAAATAACGGAAGTTGTTTACGTGACTGAATTGCCAGTTGTTTTTTAACTTTACTTCACCATTAGGAATTTAAAAACGGGCGATAAGTGCTAAGTCCGCACTGTTTTCCACTTCATCAATACTCAGTATTTTAAGACTGAGCTTTCAATTTTGACCCATTTACGTAGTGCTAAACTAACGTGTAAGGAAATGAATGTTCTCATCTCATCAGTCTTCTTCACAGCATTTGTTTCTCATATCATAGAGGCCATTCTATGATCCATCTCTTCGTCCATCGGTTATCATCATGCTCCCAGCCATACTATCAACCCAGCTCTTCTTTCAGGTATAAATTGCCTCATCAATGTTTTTGCTCTAGTATAAAACGGAATCTTATCGTGCTTTGGCTTTCTGACACCGCTGCATGTTGACCTATTATTTTATTTTTTTAAGTAAACGTAATACCGTATTTTAATCAGTGGAGATATATTACCGTCGATCCGAGAAAGTGAATAGAGAAGTGCTTTAGGCACTTGTTTTCCTCATTGTAAACTTATGAACCATCTCTGACGATTACCTTTCCTGTTAAATGTTTCGATTATGTATCTGAAAGGATATGCCTTGCTTTGCATCTCTATTAACATTCGTCATTATAGGCTGTTCAACACTAAAGTTATGTCCTGTCGAATCAAATACTCTCATATGACCATCAAATGGAATCGGAAGTAAATCCTTTATTGTATGGTACTTGACTGAAATTAGCGTGTTCAGTTTTCTCTTGTTTAGCTTTTTCAATTTTCGATTCAACAATTTCTGCTTTGGATATTCGTTAGTAGTCTTTATCAAAAAAAAGACTAGTAATGTTGAGTTTTTACCAACAGGACTCAAATTAGAATCATTGCAAAAAATCATCAGCATCAATAATCTGGGGTGCTGTCTTTCATTTCACTGTGTTTAGTATTGTGAAACTTTGATTGTGAAACAGTAACAGAAGCTTCCTATACCCCTTACTGATATCAGATATGCAGTTGGAGAAGAGGCTATTGGTAACAGAATTTTTGTAAGTATTCAGCAAATAACAAATTCTGACTTGAATATTCTGTTCGCTGTTATTTTAAGGCAGTGTTCTCTTTAATTCGTAATATATTTTTTCATTTCAGTTTTCAACAGTCAAATTGTTTAAATGTTTCTTAGCTTTGTTTCATCTGTCATAGTGGGATGTTGTCGTTGCTGTAAATGAATTTCAGTAGTTATTATATGATTCATTTCTCAGTGGGATTTTAAATGCGGAATATTTAATTCAGCTATGTTAGTTCTATTATTGTTGCTTGTGTCACGAACTGCTTCGTTTTCATTTGGCGCGTGCAAAAAAAAAGGAAAAAAAGAACGTTAACAATTATTGAGAAGTTGCTTTATTTTTTTCAGGGATAAAAATCTGTAATTACTGTAAAATAAAACAAGAAGGCGAGGACAAGAAAGTGGATAATGGTGGAAGAGGATGAAACGGCTGGTAAAACACCAGAGGAGTGTCGCGACCTTGGATTATGGGAAGTGGATCTGGTCTATTATAGTCTCAGCGGGAACAACAAGGTTAAAATACATCATGCTCCATATGGATGAGATTGGGATGAACAAGGTGGGAGGGAGGAGACAGATGCGCAGTTTATAATTAGACGAAAGACCTATATGTTGCTGTAAGCAAGGCAACATCTCAGTGAGAAAGTTTTAGGGTGAATTTTCAGTTCGTAGCTTTCGAGATAAGTTTATAAATTTCAACTTTCCAAATATTCCTACTTGTTAATTATGTCATTGTTACGAGCGACACTGAGCAAAAGGAAACTGTTTCGTCCTTTAAGAATTTCGCAGCTTGAAGTAAAACCTTCTGAAGGCCAAACATGATTATAATTCAAAATGTTAAACCTACGTGTTTATGATGTATTTGCATGTTGTTCCATATCTTCAAATTTTTGAAGTAGAATACCTTGAAAGGAACTACTACTTCTAGAAGTGTATTTGATTCCACAACTTTTTTTTTCACCTTTGTGGTAAAAAATTGAAAGGAACATCGCTGTTAAGGAAGAAAAAGTAATTGAGATTTGTGACCGGGGTCTGACCCACTATTGTCAATTGCTAGTTGACCTTCTGTCCAAAGTCACCCCTTTGTTTTTTCTGATGAATGATGACTGTTATGAGTAAGAGCGGCGTTTTAAATCTAATGATGGCTTTCTCAATTTTATTTTAGAAAAGGTGCTTTCGGGTACTAGTTTAGGAGTATGAGTCGGTTTTAATTTCGATACTTTTTAAAAAATATTGATGAAGAGCCGATTATAAGAATGCGGGAAATAAGGGGGGTTTTTGATAATGCAGTACGAGCTTGTTGTGTATTTGCAGTTTTGAAATTTGCTTTTAAAAGTTTTTAAAAAAAAATTAGCGGCCGATTGTTATTTGTTATTGTTATTATTGGGTCAAGATTTCTCTCTGACAGCCATTTTGAGATCTTTTTTTTGTCCTGACGCTTCTTCACTACAATAAAATCATTTTTTAAACAAAAATGAAAATTACGAGGGTTTACTAATTATTTTATTTTAAAAAGGGATAGAGCAGTGTTTCCAGCAATGCTTTTATAGCCTATTTGATTATTTAGCTTTTTACTCCTAACTTGTTTTTCAATCCTCTTTTCTTATTGCGCCCAGAAATAGAATCTTAAGATGCCACGTCTCACTGACCTTTGACCTCATATTTTTGACCATTGCAAAGTTTGTAGTAGCTTTGGCAGGTAATTATTTAATATAATTAAACCAAAACAAATCATTTGGCGAAAGTCACTGCTAGTTTTCCGCTTGTGTTACGATGGAATAAACGTATTTTCAGGGAGATTCCACGAAAAATAGACGTGGGAAAGCCTACAAAGCACGAAGTGATAGTGAATACAAATGTTTCGAAGCACATGACGGAGTACTTTATCGACCGGGCGATCATGTTTTCATCGAAGTGTCCCAGTGTGATCCATATTATATTGGGACAATTTCAAATTTTAAAATGGTGCTTCCTTGATTTGTTCAGATGCAAAAAGTATACTAATGAAAAGGAAATTTTGATGTGGTGTTAAGTGAATTGTCCTTCTGGCAGTCCTAAATCATCTTTGAAGTAATTGTTAGATTTTGCTGTTTCACAAAGAACTGTTTTTAGGTATTTTCTGATATCAAGCATTGACCTTTAAACTGTACGAAGTAGAATATTTCATGGCAGTTTTGAATTCTTAAAATGGCAAATGATCCATAGTAGTAGACTATTAATTGCTGATCTTGCTATTTTCTTCCATAATTAGTGGAACGCGAGGTACTCGTATCTCTGGCATCGACATTGACAATGCCTTATTTATAACAGATATGTTACTTTTTTAATCCCGGAGATTAAGGAAATGGTGCTGAGTACTCCCTTGATAATATGCCAATGAGTTGCAAGTGCAAGGTTTTCTACCACTTGCAAGGGGGTGCTGCAATCCTGACGATTCGATCATAAGTCGTTGTTTTATGGAAGGGCAATTCTAATAGCAGCACTTGAATGACCTGTTGAATTTCATAAGTTGACGAAACAAACTTTAGGTAATAGCTTGTGTTGGGAATTGCATTGAAGCATAAAGTTTCGGGAAACGATGCTTTTGTATTTTTTTTCGATTTGTACGCCAACATATTCTTTAGTTTCATAGTATTAGTAACTTGTTTTACAAATTTGACAAAAATTAATCAAATATAATTCCTCTTTGTTATCCTTTCCAGGACGATCACCTGCTTTTCCACATGAAGAAAAAAATCCGCTTATGAATTCTTTGACTCAGCATGTATGTAAATGATAGCAGTATGCGTCGATATCGATGTAATTATAACTGGTGAAGTTATCTTTGCAGACAAAACGAGACCAGCTATCGGTAAAAGTTACACGTTTCTACAGGCCAGAAGATGTTCCGGAGGATAGTTACTCACTGTTACTCCAAGATCGACAGGATGATACATCGCTCAATCATGCTGTGATGGCTGCTATGCAAACCCGAGAATTATTCTCTTCCGAAATCTCATCCGTCCATCCCATTTGTCATCTCAGGTTTGTCGTGGTTTTCCAGTGGGAGCAGTAATTTCAGCTACCGATTGTTATTTGTTCACTTGCATCTCTTTAATCCCTTTAATTTATATCTTTAAATTCCTTCTCATTTCAAAAATATAATGCTTCTGAACTGACAAAAGAAAAAAGTTGAAGAATTTGATTAAGAAATGCCGTGGATGAGTCGGCAGTCAAGAATTAAATCAGTTGAGTCAGTGTATGTTATGAAATTAGAAATGGGCACTGAAATAGGGAAATTGCATAAATACTGCCTAACAGAGAAATAGGTTGACAAATGAACTGGACAGTGTGGAGAGAGACGAAGTGACTTGTATAATAGGCTGGCGAGTATTGATACAGGTGAATAACACAGATTGGAGGAGCCAGTTTGTCCTGATGTGATGTGTAATAATATCCAGAAAAGCAAATATGATAGAGGAAACATCCATACAGTTGGCAATACTCCCAATAGGTTTTATGTGTCGGTGATAATATTAGGTATTATTAACCGTTAACAGACACGACAGACCATCTTTAACAGCTGTGCAGTACGCTCCATCTAAACTCATTTCGGTAGTCACTACCGCTCCGTAGCATTTGATCGAATTGAACAGAAATATTTTTCAAGAGGCCTTCAGGAAATAGAAATAGGAATTTCACGTTAACGATTGAGATTTGTATCTATACTAATTTGTTAAGATTGCAAGTGTGCAGAAATTAAAACAAATTTCTAAACTCCACCTTTATTATTATACTAGTTTTGACCAGGGGTCAGTGCTGCTAATTGTGATTTTGAATGTTGGAAAGTTAGTAAATAGTGATAGAGTAGCTGGTGGCAAGGAAAAGCAAAAGAAAAGAATTTATTGGATTCGATTTGGTGAGGGAGAAATTGGGTTCTTTCATTTCAATGGGCCAAATCATTGCATCATAAATTTTAACTAGGAAAATGACCGTCTGATGTGTTGCTGCGAAAAAATTTGTATAGCCTGATAGAAATAAGGAATCGGGAAAGAGAATGAGAAAGAGGAGAGAGGAGGAGGAGGTGGGGAAAAATGATTAATAGATATTCATAAAAGAGTGCAATTTCTAATATATCTTGTGTTGATAGCAATCTGCATCATTTTGCTAGATTCCTCTGTGGTAATACCCACAACCACTGGTTTTTGTTATTTGGAAATGAGGTTATCCCTTATATGGCGCTGAAGTACCCCTTGTCTTTGTCCGTGCCTTCTCCAACCCATCTGTCCATTTGAATATCGCATCATTACTGGCATTATCCAATTGATGTACTTGTTTTAATGTATTAGTACCGATCTAATCTATAAATAGCCTTAATTTTAGCCCCAGGACTGTTCTTCGCTATCAGCGACAAGCATTATTCAGAAGAGGTTAACTCACGCTTGCCCGTTATTCATCCATTCATTGATAATGTTAAAATTTCTGCTTTCAGCACCTTGTTGACAGCCAGACGTTTGCTTAACTTGTCCCTTGATCAAGACGCTTCTTGACTATTTCGTCATTGTAGTTATAACCGATTGATCATTCATTCTAAGATCAAGGAGAGCAGAGCAAGACAAGTGATATCGGACAGCAATAATTTATTCAAATATTACAACCTTGTCCAGGTACCTCCCGTGTAAGTGGTTGTTATATGGGACGGCAGGAGCGGTATCCACTGATTGGAAGGAACTGCCGATGTTGATAAAGAATTAAGGGAGAATGCTGGCTTGATGGATTGATGACTGGGACAATAGCGCCGTCAGGGAGAAGGATAAGAGAAGATTAGAGCGGTGAAGAGGTCGATTCAGTGTTGCAAAAATAGTGCTGGACATGATTAAATTTCTGCTTATTATTATTGAGAGAAAGAGAAGAGGGTAAAGGGAGAGAGGTAAGGGGTGAAACGAATGGAGCTTACTATATTGATCATGGTTTTATCGTTTCGTTTGCTTTTTCGATCGATCCTTCTCATTCGCTCTTTGATGGTCGTCTGAATGTCTTTTCTTCTCTCGTGTTCCTGAATGCTTTAGGGAAAAAAAAATGAAAGAAGGAAAATTCTGTTTCGGTTATGGTTTCATATATGCACATGCTTTTGTTTATTGCATTGGCAAATATTGCCACACATATATCTTTCAGTCCGTATTCGGTCTGATTATATGAATAAGCTCGATTACTTAATTAAGGTTAATCAGAAGTTATCGTCCCTTGGTATTATCATTTCGGAGTTTTGCTTCATATACTAACTTTTGGTTTTCCTATTTGGAAGAAAATTGCCAATTTTTCTTAAAATTGATTGAATTAGCACTTAGAACACTCCATTTGTAAAAAAAAAACTCATCGTTTTCGCAGTCAAACTCGCAATGATACGTGATGATGATGGTGATCTGCTTGGAATGAGATTTGAAATCTTTATGGAAATGACAAGGAGTACAGAGCCGTGTTTAATGAGTCCATTGAAAGAAGTGATATATGTCTTGTAAATTTAATACATATTTCTGCTTTACAAATTCCTATTTTTGATTATTATACGGGGAAGGGAAATGTGAAAGGTACATTATGACGCATATCCCAACTCATCTATACGTACGTCTTCAACTTGCAAATTACAATTTCATTGCTTTGCTGGGTCACTTTCTGTTGTTTGAAGAATGACGAATGACAATGCGGAATGGTCATAAACTTTATTGTTTTCTGAGAGAACCAAGAATTTGATCCAAATAGATGGAAGGGAACAAATGATATTTGGAATACTCCTCGTAGGTTTAATTAAATGAAAATAATTAATTAAAGATTAAGAAGGGAACCCGAAAGCTAAAGGATTTGTAGCAAAATATATCAAAAGTTGCAGTAAAGAATTTAAATGCATGGAGAGCATTGATTACTCCATTTATTGGCGATATCTAGAATTAACAGAAGGCGATCATGAATAAATCGGTAGCAGTAAGTTGTGTGCCACAGTTTCTTCGACATTAGCGGACTTTTTTTTTGTATGCTTGCGCTATAAAAGTATGAGGAAAACTTTTAAGACCATGAAAGAAATCACTGTATTACCATGATGACATTCATTATGAATACGTCATTATGAATACGTTTAGTATGACATCGCGCTGTTACAAGTGTCAGATGTTATCTCTGACGTGATAGAAAACTTATAATACTGTGTGTACATTTATAATACTAGAGGGAAAAATTCTGGCGTACGACCATTAAAAAAGCATTTGTATCAAATTGCTAAACTTAAGTCTGTAGGGTGATGATGTAGGATAGAATTTGTTCAGCCACGTCTATCACTGCTGCTTTGTCTTTGCACTAATTTTTTGAGGAATTTTCCTCATTAAGTAAATATAATTATATTTACGCGTATTTGTAAATAAGCATTTGCTACTCTCTCCCTTCCTGCACACTTTTCTTCACTAATACTGTTTATAGGGCCTTCTTTATGAAAGCCAGAGAAAAAGAGTAGATTAAATCGAAATGAGTTTTTCGAACAAATAACTGAAAAAGGGGAGTAAATAAAGCTATATCAGGAATAATTATCACGCGAAATTTTGAACGGCGATGCTTGCCCTGTTAAGTAGCTTAAACCGGCTGACATTTTTATTGTAGGGAGGGAGGAAGATAGATTAGTGATTAGAGGATGCTTTGCATTTTTACTCTTACGTGTAATCAGTTCAGTTCCAAACCATGTTAGTGAAGAACTAAATGAGGAGGTCTGCAATTTACATTTGTTAAGGTTGCCTTATACAATTGTTACGCTTCATCCCAAATCTTTACTCTCGACTTTATATGTATATACATATGTATATATACACGTATATATATAAGGCATATATGTACATATATATATACATATATATGTATATATACATATATATATATATATATATATATATATATATATATATATATATATATATATATATATATATATATATATATATAT